TTGTTAAAAGAGGACACTGGACAAATTACTAGCCGTTGTAGTTTTGATTCCGGAAGCAGAGAAGAATTTTTACGCCAAGTGCATCTTTTATTGCTCGAATCAGGTGTACAACCAGGTCCATGCAGTGCACAAACGAACACGTCTACTTCGCTTCTGCATTCGCCTAAAGTACGACCCGGCCTTAAAAATCAGTCCTACAAGAGGGCCAGAAATTATTTCACTGGATGTACGCACCCTGCAAAGAAAGAATAAAAAATTATAATAAATAAAAGAAATAGATTGAACAAACCATTTGCACTCATCACCACAGCAAAGAGGATCAGCAGACCAAGGAAATTTGTCATGGTTGTGACCAGTCAATCGGAAATTGAGAACAGATGTGTACGCAAGCGTCTGCACTGACCGCGCACTTAGTAAATGCAACTAGAAGACCCGCAGTGAGTAGCTGGTCAGAGTTGCCGCAGGACGAATCTCGTTGGAAGAAGAAATCGTTGGGTCTTATATACCAACTCGCTCCCCATCGGTTTTCCACAAAAAAACTGGACAGGTGTTATTCGGTTTACTCTTAAACCTTAACCTCCACCTTTCTCTAACTCTGCACGTTTCATAATTTTTTATGTTGTATGAAACATGGTACGTTGTGTTAAAGATAGAATACAGCATCGGTAAAATCACAAAATGGAACTGCCGAATAATACTTGAATATCTTACTTGAGAGAAAGAACATAACAGTCTCGGGTGATCTGAGCTTTTTTTCGCCAAGAATGTTTGCATCGAGAAGACATTCTTTTTTAACGCGTTGTCGACTGACCATTGTTGGAAAATATGTTTCCCAATTTTAAAAATGCCACATCCGTTAGCTGGTGCAAATAAACCCTTTAAATTTGAATAAAATCTGGTACTCTGGGTTCTTCAAATTCACGGGAACATAACAATTTTAGTTTTTCACACTAAAGAGTCTGTTGCTATGCCTCATAATTCGGGCCAAGCATTTGCTTAGTTACACAAGAGACGCCTTGGGCAATATACACTGTTTCAATGGATAAGAAGGGCAATATCCCAGAGATGGCAGTCGCTATGCAAAAGCTTACCCAGAATCACGAGGTACAGCGACAGTGTCTTTAGTCTGGAGAATTCAAATTATTTGGTTTATGTGCAATCTACGGAAGCGTACTTATAAGAAACCGTAGTAAGGCCATGACTAAAAAATTATTTGGCTTACCAAGTGGCAGGGTGTGTTTTCACAATTTCAGGATTAATCCGCCAGGGATGGCATACTAATTCGCCCGAGCGAATTAGTAATCCGCCCAGGCGAAACAGTGGGTTAAACCTTTTTCGCTTCGGTAGCAATCAGATGACCCAGTGTATCAGATTTTATTCAAATTTAACTCGCCAAAGGCTTAATGCACTGTGTGTAGTACACGTAGATCATACTGAAAGCATTAAGAGCTAATATCCTTTCAAGCAAACCCATTATAACTTGAAAGAATAGGAAAATAACTGTAAAATACAAGCTAAAGGAGAATTGGGATCAGTTTGAAGTAAAACTTTATTTTTTTCAGAAAAAACGTTTCTCCACGCAAAACACATGTCGCCATATCATTACAACCGAAGCATAACGATGTGGTCCGAAGTGGAAACTGGACACAAGGTAACCGTGTCTGCCGATTTGCTGCTAAATTTGACTGATACTTGTATGTTTTTTGTTTGTTTTTGTTTTGCCATGCTTAAAAAAACACAAAAAGACACAAATTTAGCAGGATGATGTTTTAAACAGAGTTCTGGCAGAATACTGTGATTCCAGCAGAAAATATGTCAGATTTGTGTTGAACAAGCTTTGTCAAACAAAAAAAAATCAGTTTGTTCGTTTATTGAAAACAAACAAGAAGCGTCCGTTCGCAAAACGTTTGCAACAGGAAAGATCAGCAGTTTATACCCTTTCGGAATTCTCTTTAATCCTTACGCTGCATGAGCCAAGGTTTGGTGGGTGAGTCAAACTTTTTGATCAGGCAATTTTATAACATCTGCATGCGTGAGTGACTTGTCGATCACGTATTTCATACGTGCCTTAGTGAGACAGTCTTACAGCATCTGGTTGTGCTTGTGTAAGGTTTTTCGTGTAATTTGTGGTGATTTTACAGATGTTGGTTCAGTACATGAACTAGAAACAAACTAGAAAACTCTCCATGTGACTTTTCCCAAAATATTACTTGCGCACAAAGATAAAATTTTGACACGTTTCTTGGGGCGGTTTAAAGGAATCCCTCTTCCATAAATTATCAAACGTGATGGCAGGGCCCCTTGTAAAGTCCCTATAGGTGAACCATGCGAGGGTTCCGGAAGCTCGCGGTGTGACCCTTTACCCTCAGGCTCTATCCCTGCTCACGTAAGTTGTGACTAACCTAAAAAGTTGTCTTCACTGCACACGTATGTTCCTGCCCCGTAGAGATGACGTTGATTACAAGGGCGCATGCCCAGGTTATTTTTCAAGCAGACAACAACGTTTTTTCGTGAGAGCAGACGACAATACAGCGCACAATTTTTCACTGCGACAGACCTCGTGAAATACCAAAGTGTAGCAGCAAAAACAAATGTCGAGGATTTCGTCAGCACTGATACCATTTCATAAGGTAGAATCGTTAAAAAATAGAGACATTTCCTGTTCATCACTTTCGCTGCTGTGAACACTGACCAACGCGGTACCCTGACATCGAAGTCGTCGCGTCCGCTGTGGCGGTCTCAGCTGCCTCCCGGTCTCAGTGGTCCCCCTTACCAAATATGGTAAAATACGTCATGCCATCTCTGCGCGTAACAACGAGAAAGTCGTCTGTTTAATGTCCGGCCATTCAGGGGGGACCGCTGAGACCGGGAGACGGCTAAGACACCTCACACACCACCTCAGCACATGCATAAACGTAAACATGTACATGTACATGTCATGTGTACAAAATGTAACCGTGCATACACGACTACACTTAACCGGTGACTCCCCGCTGCAAGAATGTTACTCAAAAGTCTGCCCTTACAAGAGTATATGGTGCAAAGGTATCCTATTTTATGTCAAAAGTTCGACAAAGCAATAACTCCTGACTCTAGCAATTAAGTTTTACTGGTACAGAAAGATAATTTTACATTAGAAATGAGACGGATTTTTCCACTATAAAATGTCTGGATTCACACAATTTGGCGCGAAAATTTGTTTCAAATTCAATTTCATTTTGCAACAATTTTATCCGGCAGATTCCCAATTTTTGCGTGCAATCGATAAAGACAGTCTTCTACTTTATATGTATCTAGCTTTTATGACCAGGAAAACTCATTTTAAATAGATAGTAATCAAATTTGGCAACACTCAATTTTTTCTTGTGAAAAATAAAAAATTTTGGGGTTATTTAAAACCACATTTTTCATTACATTTTTAGGCAGCTTACAAAATCAACGCCACTGAAAAATGAAGTGATTAATATCATTTGGATTTGTCATGAAAAATTCAATTATTTGTGCTCGGTTTCCTGGAACTCTATTGACAAAGACGACGCCTCATCTTGCAATCAGAGCGCGCAAAGTCAGACATAGCATGTTTCTATGCTGTTGTTAAGTGCAACTCTTGCGCATGCGCACTTTGGTAATGAGCGCCATGAACATACATATGCATGCGCACTGTTTGTAAGTGTGCACAACGCTTGGACAACGTGCAACCAATCATAGCTTTCCATGAGTGTTACGTCACTTGGCTCTCCACCCTCTGACATTGCTATCAGACTTCAGAGCAACAGATTAGCCAACCCAAATTATTCAAGCTGGGCGCCATCCTGCCAGTGCACTGCATGGTAACATTTGGGCCATACCCCACTGTTTTCAGTGGGGTATTGCCCAAATGTTGCCATGGAAACCCATGCCAGGATAGCTCCACAACACAAGTAGAGAGCCAGCGTAATGCTTTAACCATTCCACATGCATGTAATTGGCTGGCAACACAACATAACAGATTCACTGCATCATATGATTCGGCACCTGCTATGTAAAGGGATAGCTCGCCACGTAATGCATTGGCTATACGCGAATAATGCCTGGACTACACAACGAGAACATCGCGTAATAGTCTGACAACAAGACACAAGGGATTAACAACATCACACGACGAATTGACAATTCAAGTTGCACAATGTATTGCACAAAACCATGGACTCAGTACAGCGCATTTCTGAATGAACGAACACACGCGGGATAATCTGCAGAACAAAAATGAACAGGTGCTTTCCACCTCCCCTCAAAAGGTGTAGTTTTCCACAGCCAATGGGTAGTTCGTAAATTACCCGAGATTAATGCACTTCAGTCAACCAAATGTAGGACCTACAATAATTTGGGGCACAGAGGAAATTATGGCTGGGAAAAAACCCGAAAGATTAACGTTTGGATATTGTGGATTTTATTGTCCAACAAGGCCGTGTCCGAATCACGTTTTGGCTACGACCGGAATTTACACACAACTCAATGGGAACTGGCCGCGGCCACTACCATAGACTCGTGCGTAATTGCCGGCCGTAGCCAAGAGATTTGGACACATCCTTAGACCTTCGCTGCGCAGTTCAGAAAGGGTAGTCATTTTGGCCAACTTGTCAACTTTTTTTCACTACACGCTCTGTCTGAGGATACACCATACACTTTCCAATTGGAAAGTGGTTTTATTGCCAGTCTTTAAAGGAGACTAGTTTTCATGCCTCTGACGGAATCCTCCACTGAGGCCACATTTTAGGCCTTAGACCTTACAGGGCCTGCTCTTTTAACGTCACAGTCGTTTTTTTTCCTAAAAGATGCTGCTAAAACTATAGTTGGCTGTCGGTACAAAATAAGATATAATTCACTGAGTTAAAAATCCCTTGTAGCTATCAAAACACTAGATAATTATACACGTGCTACCACATACTAAATGTGAATACAACAATTTGAGGTACACTGACAACCAAAATGAAGGTGGTATTTCTGCAAACTCTGGCCGCCTTTACAAGTTGTAGGCAAAAATGAGAGTGTTCTATTTATGTCGACTTTCCCCAGCGAGTTATGTTTTCCCTGGAAATTCTAACCTGGTCAGGATGACCTGACGAAAATAGCATACTGCTGGTAAATGCACTTCACAGCTCTGCCAGATTTGAGTGAAAACGAGATTGCACAAGGTTGTAAAGATTTACCCACCTGCAGTTGGATGAGGTCTAGACTCAGTCGAGTCGGCCGGCACCGTTCTTTTGAGCAAATTAAGGTTACATTAAACTTTAGAATCCTCTAAACACAGATTAGTCCTTTACGTTTATTTCCTTGTACATTGTAAAATGCTTGAATGTTTTTATGCCTTGTTATTTTAGCTTTTACCAAAAGGCCATGAGAAAAATCGATTAACACCGTTCATATGCATACGAGAACACCGAGTTACATTGGGCTTAACGTGTTTTAGACTTTCCGAAATAAGGGGTCAACTTTTGGTGGTGTTATTAAACATAACATGAGGTCTCAAAATAGCGCTCAACAAGTGAAAATCCCGGGGGTGGGGCGGGGTCAACTTCGTTGCTCATTGCCATTTTATTAATATTTTAACTTTATTTCTTTTCTATTATTTTTTATTCAACAAGGGGCATACGTCCAAAGGTTGAAAGCCCCCCCCCATAAACCCTCCATAGGCATCTTATTTAATTTAAATAACTGTACGTGGCTGAATCGCATCGAAATTAAAAGAGAGGGACTGTGGAGCCCTGCAGAATATGATATCGGCATTTTATTTTATTCATCTAATAAAGGACAGAAACCACTCCGCACAACATGTAGGCCTATCTTTACTTACGAGGATTACTGAAAACACAGGCCCTAGTACTGGCTGACAAAAGAATTAGCCCCTTCTTAGAGATGTAAACAAATAAACAAATCATTTGTAGAGGCACTGTTTGTGCTTCGATTTTATATTCTGTCACAAAGTTGAATCAAACGAAGACTCGTTGTGAATATGTACATGTTTATGCATTTCTGAATATATACAAAATGCGTGCCCGTCGTGCCCGCACAAAAAGCAAGTACTGCATAATTCATGTTTCACTGTTCCGCCATATGGCCCCTGGAGCCCAATGATGATGTCATAAGAGTAAATTATCATAAGTGTATACTTTTTTCCACTTTTGATACTGCCGATACAATAGAAAGGAAGGCGTAGAAGGAAGTCGACTTGATCATTGTTTAGAGTTTCGAGGTTCCTCTCCCAACAAATGAACAAACTTCAACAGATATGGCATTAAAGAGAATAAGTAAGGTAATTATGCCAAATTCATTTGTCAGGAATTGATCACCGTTTTGTGTGTGGGTGCGTGTCATTTGACAAAATCTACGACATGGGCATCGGGTGCTGACATGACTGAATATGGTTTGTATATTGTACTACTGAAACCCCGTTTGATGGGCGAAGATGTGAATTGTAGACGTACGTCGATATTATAGTTACAACAGGCTAAATGGAAGTAAAGTACAAAAGCCTTTCACGTAAGTACGTGTTAGTTTCACGTACATACGTAAAAAATTATCATTTACGTACGCAAAAAGTATCACGTACAAACGTACATAAGAACTATCACGTACGTACGTAAAACTACCATGTACGTGCGTAAAAAACTATCATGTATGAACGTGATACTAAAAGTTTTCACGAACGCACATGTGCGTGAAGCTGACAGGTACGTATGTTAACACTATCTCGAATCTAAAGCGCTATATCACAGAGTTGTAATGACTCGAGTCAATGACTCGACTCGAGTCCGACTCGAGCCGCATTTTTGGGTGACTCGACTCGAGTCTCTGCTGTAAAATGACTCGACTCGACTCGAGTCACAAAAATCAGTGACTCGTTACAACTCTGCTATATCATAACCACTGTATCACGCTCGGACTCGCTTGCACTCAGTGAACTGACATGCAGTAAGTTTATTCTTTCAATCCTTTAAAAACGTTTAAACTAAAAAAGATAAGGTGAAACCAGTTGCCAACAAAATATACATTAAGTAAACTTTAATGTTACAGTGCATTAAGTTCCAAAAAATTCTGTCCCAAAAACACAAAAAAGATTGGACAAAAATAATTAACGCCTGCCTGACAGGTTTTGTTGGCATTTCAGCATGTCAAAGGTGATCTAAATGTACTGTGACTTGAGTGGTACCCGGTACCCATGATCCAGTTTTGCGAGCAAATTGGCGAAATTCAACTTATTTTTATGCCATTCGCACTGTCTTTGTGCCAATCAAAAATTTCTTCGATCATTGCAAAATAACTAGCCCAGTTATAGTAGTTCAGTGATCATATACTCGGTTTGTCTGACGAGCACCGGTCTCCAGGCGAACTCGCACAATGGTTAGCGATGTCCAAATAATAGACTGGCATGGGCAAACACAAAACTTTTAACAGCTGCGTCCATAGGGGAACATCTTATAAAGTTCAGGCCATAGCTTTTGAGATTGCAAAGCCCTCATGAAGATTTTCTTCCCAAATGCTGTCAAATTTGTTTCTTCTTAGAACTTTGGTTTAAATAAAGCCTGAAACGAAACCTTTGCAAACAGTTAGCTGTGGTAAGCATAACGTGGTTAGGTGTCGGTAGTTAATGCCTCAGTGGTTGACTGCAATGGGGCCATCAATGAGATGTGGCTAAATGCAAAGTGTAATAAAAAAAAACTCAGAGCAGATTAAGAAAATTGCATCTATGCCCAATGTAGCCAATTACATATTGTTGTAGAAGTGGCCAGTTTTTCTCAATTCAGCAAACATTTATGTCAGCTGTTGAATGTCTGAAGCTGCACTGTGTATACCTGTTTGGGGCGGTTGCTCCTACAGTAACACATTCAACAGTTTTCTAGAGCATGGTTGTATACGGTGAGAGATAAATAACACAAATTGATGAAGACATATTTCTGGTTCCATCCCTCCTTGTAGGAACTTCAGGATTTGGGGCGTAACCCCCCACCGAACTGTTCAGCAGGTCCTGTGGGAGATGACTGTAAGTTAGGTTATTTGGGAAAGCTGAAGAGTGTGTCGAGAGCACGCGAGGATCACGTGGAAAGAGATCAAGACCCCGTGCGGCTAAAACACCTCATTTTTGGAAAGCTATTCATTTTGGAAGACAAAAAAATTACTAACTCGATGAAAATAAATGGACTAAAGAGAAGGAAAACTAAATTAATTTGTTACAAAAGTGCATTTCAGAAGTATATTTCAAGGTGTTACAATTAAGTCCTTCTTGAGGGCTTCTCATTGCTTACGCCCAACAATAATGGCAAAAACTAAGTTTTCCTTCATTTGTGGTTTCTACTTTTGTAGGAATTGAGTACAACCAAAAATCGAATGGAAGGTTTCATATCCAAATTCTGTTTTATTCTCATTGACTCGGCTTGGTTTTCCTTTTTATGTTTTTTCCTCTCTTATCCAGCTATTTTTTTTTTGTCTGTCTTGCTGATTTCTTCGGGTCTTGGCTCTGGAGAAATCTAAAAAGCTGATGTTATATGCATTTCACTGTGCTTGTTGCATGTTTAGGGAAGCATTTAAGACAGCATTTGGCAAGTGATGAAGACTTAACAGGTTCAGAGATGTTTAGTAGAGTTCCCCGGGCCACATTTTGTTCATGACCCACTGCCGAATGTGCTGCTAATTGCCATCTATTTGATTTTGACACAAATCTCAGGTTTGCCGATAAAAGATCATGTTTGCAACTACAATGTACATGTATCTATCCAATTGAAGCATGGGTGGTTTTTGTCACTTTGCACTCAGCTTTGTGAAAAGAGAGGTCACGAAATGCATGTTCATGTGAGCGTTTTTAAGTAAATGACACGTTACCCTATTTCTTTATTCCCAGTATTTCACTGGCAGGCAACTATAATGGGCCCAGTAAGTATTCCTTCGTTGTTTTTTGAAGTATTACTCTGTGGTCATGGAGCACAGGGAATTCATCTGATCAAGATCTCAGTTCTGTGCTGGTGGTGAAACAGCGGCTCTCGGTAGTTTGGAAGGGCCACGCTCGTCTATATCGTGCTCAATTTGGCAGTTTTACTTTAGCACAACCTTAACTTAGACGTCTCGGCGGGGGCGTAGCTACTAGTTGGCTGGCATGAAAAATATTCGACTGAATATACATAAGCACAATTGAATGTAGTGAGAATTTGGCAGTGCTATACACCAGAGAATACAGTATACTGCATGATCGATGTTGATGCCGATGACGTCATCAAATCAGCCTGGGAGCGCGAACGGCCAAAAGGGGTTTTTTGTGGACGGGGAAACGTAGGATCTTTTTATCATTTTTGGGTCAGATTGATGGGATAAACATTAAACTTATGATGTTTTTGAAATGATTACGCATTTATTGTTGTTTTGAAATGCTTCACAGGAACTAAAGTTCATGAACTTTTCAATTTCATTTTTGTTTCCCTTTAAACTCAAAGTCTACACAGCATTAGGAGGCCGAGGTTGCAGAAGTCCCACAGTACACGTATCTTGGAATAGAAACTTATTTTCATTATAGAATGAAACTGAACTTTGGCATTTCTGCACATAATTAAGCTGTTTCAGTTCGGCTGATATTGGACTTGATGTTGAGAACAGATGAACCGAGTTAGATTCTTGTGTGGTTCAAAAAAGTATTGGTTTTTGGTTACATTTGGGGGTTTATGTTGCCCTGTTTCTCAGCCTCTCCGTTTCCTCAATATCTGCTGGTACAGAGATCAATGAAGGGCTTTTCCTGTGTGGCATTGTGTTTACTTTCATTTTCATACTTTCAATGAGTTGCGGTGAACGTACATAATAAAATGAAAGTAAACCTGCTACCATCCTAGGGGGTCAAATTCGGTGGCGTAAAATTTGTAGGAAACTAAGGGGATGGGGAAAGGGGGATGACTTGCCTAGGCATGGAAATTTGAAAAGATGAGTGGGAGGTGACACCATGTAACACTGACATTGGTGTATATCTGTAATATGTATTTCATCCATGCAGGGTCTTAAACCACGGTGGCATATTTCATAGCTCTTATTTTTTTTTCTTTTTTGAGTGATACAGAATGCATTACCTAATTGCAGTTGAAATTCACTTGAATTAAACAGTGTCTCCATTGTGTGATATTTTTGATGGTTTTTATCTTCCTCCTGCAGCCAAAGAGCCCATATGCAGATGGTATCTTTGTTTTGAAAATTGACTTCCCAGATAGATACCCCTTCAAACCACCCATGGTGAGTGTTTGATATAACTGTGCCATTCAAATCAGTCAAGGATATTGGACCAAGGATTGTTGCTTGCTTTGATATTCATTTCCCAGTCTTCAATTAAATCATATTGTCCACAAAGTGAGGCTGTACATGTATTTAGAACAATAAGGCCGGCTTTCTTCCCACTTCAGAGGGTGCCAGGAACTGCTGTCTGGTGCACTTGAGTGATCATAAAAACTAATACAGTCAATACAAAATAAAAACAGTCCTGGCGCTTTCCAAGCTTCAGTTAAAACTGCACATTTACTTGTCAATGGTGTCACATTAGGAAGTGACACATGCGGGAATATTTGTTGTGTAGCAAACCAAAATGACAGTAAAGTTATCAGTTTTATATTGGACATTCCCATTAGTTTGTACAGCAAATGTCTGATTTTGCCCTGTACAAACCTGTGGGTATGTCCAATGTCCAATATCAAACTAACTTTACTGTCATTAAACCAGATGGTGGTCACATGTACAGTTTCTCCAGAATAGGCACTACCATCGCATTTTCAGGCATCTCGTTGGCCCGTGGTCTGTGGAGCTTTGAATCCATTGACCCCTCTTGGTTTCTGTAAGAACGCACGTGTAAACAAAGTGAAGTAGTAGTATAATCAGCAGCAGTGGTAAGATACCTTTAATACGGGCGATTCACCATAGTGCGCCTCCAAGAGTTTGCAACGCGTTTGCCAATCACAACGCACGAAATCTGTCGATCCTTTCCAAACGCACATTGGCCCGACAAATTTCGCGCACTGTGATTGGCCAACGCGTTGCGAACTCTTGGAGGCGCACTATTATGAAACGCCTGTATCATTTGGGGCGTTTACAAAACGAGTGGCTCAGGCTTAGTCTTTGCTGGTTCCAGCCATTTGAGGAGACTCCGACCATGCCGACTGGAACCAATTAAGCCAAAGACTAAGCCGAAGCTATCTGTTTCGTGAACGCCCTATAAATTCGTCAAAAATCATTATTCACATCAAACAATGGAGCCTGTGCAGTTGACCCCTGACGGGCGCCTTCCAGAACCCTCGGATAGGGAAAATAACATGCAAAACTGTGAGAATTTGTAATATTTTTTCGATCAGTTACTTCCTAAAAATTCTACTCGTAAAAAGGCCTTTTGTAAAATATTTGCTAGATATCAAGTTATGGAAACGGAAAAATAACATGTCCTTAAAGAGAAATACCTGCCAAAAATTTTTTTTCACTTCCGAAAATTTTTAATTCGTGAAAAACAGTGAAATTCGTTGGCTTTGCACGCAGATGAACAGTTGCACTTTACGGTAGTCATTCGGGAAAAGGCAAAATGAAAACAAAAACATCTTATATATTAAGGATTTGGTAATTTAAAGGAAATAAACTTTAAAAGCAATAACCTGCTTTAACAAAAGTGCGTCAGGTCAACTCGACTGAATCTAGAGTCTATCGACTGCAGGTAGGTAAATCTTTGCAACGTTGTACAGTCTCGTTTTCACGTAAACAAGGGAAATGAAAACAAACGTATATGAACAAGGAAACCTAGGAACGATACTGCCGGAAGTGAAAGGTCGTAAATGAAATTTGTTTTTTTTTTACCAATCTCCAGGTGAGTTTTCCTTAATATTACTTGACGAGGACAAAGGGAAAAACCCGACACGAGCGTTTCTTGGTGGTTTCAGTTGAGAATCCTTCTTTCAAAAATTATCGAGACGGCCCCATGTAAAATCCCTGAAGGCGGACCGCGGGAAGGTTCTGGAAGCTCACTGAGTGACCTTTTACTTTCAGGCTCTACAGACAATTCACAACAGCGCGCCTCCAAAAGTTTGAAACGCATTGGCAAATTACAATGCGCGAAATCTATTGAGTAGCTTAGAATAATCCATTGGTTGTAATCATGAGATGCGCAGAAATAAATGAATATTCCACAGGGCTCCTATGAAATATAAAGCAGCCCTAAACCATTCCTGGTGGCTTTAACCGGTAGCTTTGTGCTGGAGTCATATCATATTCGTTGGTATTCAGACATAATGAGGTCACCATATGCTCAGGTTGTTCATGTGCATTTCTGCTGCTGTCAAGAATGTCATGACCAGTCCACCCATTAAAAGGTAGCACTGGAACTACATTGTTTACTGTGCGTGGTATCACCAAAGTATCATTGACTCATTGGCCCATTGCAAGGTAGAACTGGAACCACTCACCCAAGAATCATTGTCTCATTGACCCATTGCAAGGCAAAACTGGAACTACATTGTTTACTGTGTGTGGTATCACCAGAGTATCATTGACTCATTGACCCATTGCGAGGCAGAACTGGAACTACTCACCCAAGTATCATTGTCTCATTGACCCATTGCACCATTGCAAGGCAGAACTGGAGCTTCATTGTTACTGTGTGTGGTA